AACTTTCTCGAACGCCGCCTCCAAACCCTCGTTTTCAAGTCTGGCATGGCCAAGTCCATTCATCACGCTAGAGTCCTCATCAGGCAGAGGCACATAAGGTCTAATTTCTCACAATATTCATTAAGTAGTATTCGTTATTTATTTTGGATCATATGCAATGCTATTGATTTTCACTATGAATTGATTTCGTATCGTGTAGCTTTGTTGCATAATTACGGCTTAATTATTAAATTCATACTGAACTCGTATAGTTGCGGGCTTGCTGTAATACTGATCCTTTTTTCCTAATATATGGATTGGTTTTCGTTGATAAATTGTGTGACTTGATATAGAGACCATTTGGTGTGTTTAATTTGTTTTTTGATGATAGCTTCTTTTTGGAATGAATATTGAGATTGTTTGGGATTTGGCAGGGTTGGGAGACAGGTGGTGAACATTCCATCATTCATGGTTAGGGTTGATTCTCAGAAGCACATTGACTTCTCACTCACGAGTCCACTTGGTGGTGGTCGCCCTGGACGCGTGAAGAGAAGGAACCAAAAGGCTGCTGCTAAAAAGGCCGCTGGTGGAGATGGAGATGAGGAGGATGAAGATTAGGTTATTAATGTCTAGCAACCTTTCTTGTGCGCACCTTTTAATTAATGTAGACATTTTAGAATTTTGTCATGCTCCGACTCTTATAAAATTTTCCGTACTTGTTTTTTGTTTGAGGTAAAGTTGTGCCTGAGGTATGATGATTTTGAACTCTGCTTTCTCAAAGTATTCAAGTTTTGCTGCCATGATTGTCGTGATCTCTGGTATTTTCACAACTTGAATCAAATATCCTTACATATGTGATTTAAGGCTAGAAGCCATTTTAAAAAAAATGATTTGGTAAGATGCTTAGGGTTTTGGTTCGAATGGCAGAGATTTTAGAATTACTAGGGATAGTTGCTGTAAAAATCGGCAACAATATTTGTGCGTTGATTTTTGTTGAGTCTTGCTGGGTAGTGATTCTAATATTATGTTTGGATATCCAAACCAACGAACCTAATGGTGAAGCAATTCATTGACTTCTCTACATTTTGTAAAACTGACATGAGAGACATGCTAATTGAGTAAAGAACATTGATTTTTCAAACAGGCTCGAAATCGTAACGTAGTTTAGTTGGAGAGGTATTTTAAGATCAATTGTTAATTAGATAACTCAATTGCGCTTTTCTTGTTACAAACAGAGCAGTGTTTGGGAGCAGAATATAACAATTCATATTTAAGTGGCAAAAAATTGAAGTATCGGCTGCAGGAAATCCATTGATTTAATTCACATTGCTTTTATGCAAACACTTTAGATGTTCGTTGGTGTCTCTGAACTCTCTTGGCAACAAAAACGGCATGTTTTTTGCTTGCCCCTAGTATTACGTGCTCGATTCGACAATGCTATCATTATAGATTAGAGATCTCAAAATCGGTGCTTGATGAGTTCACACCTTGGGTAATCAATGTTTGTCCTCGTTTGGTAGCTAGTTTTCATTCCTTTACGAAAATCAACTGTGTATGGGTATATATGACCCATGGTTCGTAGGTGAGATTTAATCCACTTCTAGAAATGGCATCATTTTATTAAGCTCGCAAAATGAGGGGTCTAGAAAAGTTCCATTCTCCAAAACTCAGTCTTGAAGAAAATTAAGATTAGAGTAAAAGTAGATCTGATTGCATCACAAGAATTTAATTGGTTGTGAATACTAAACTTTCAACTCAGAGTCAACCTATGATGAAGGTAGAATTGAGTCACTTCAAATTGAAAATTAAGACTAATATGTTCTAATTAAGGGTAAAGTTGAATTTCAAATCAAGATTATTTAAATCTATCTTGGATCTGGAATAACTCAAGTTGACCTTTAGTCCAAGTTAATTTGGGTTTACCTTTAGCCTGGATCACTCGACCATCAACTTGAATTGCTTCTCCCAGGCCAACTCACCCTACCTTTGTCCTAAGACAACTCACCCTACCTTTAGCTAAAGACAACTCATTGTACCTTTAGTATAGACCAATTTGGCGATTTTTTGGCTAAACGATCAACCTGGGTTGACTTGACTAACTCAAGTTGATTGTTAGTCTCGCTCAACTTAGATGTCCAAGCCAACTCCGATCTACTTTCAGTTGACTTGACTGATTCAAGTCGATTGTTAGTCTCGCTCGACTTAGATGTCCCAGCCAACTCCGATCTACTTTCAGTTTGGACTGACTTGACCTTTGACTCAGGCCTATTCGGATTGACCTTCAATCCGAGTTGACTCGACCTTCAATTTGGGCCAACTCAAGTCACCCTTTAATCGAGACCAACAAAGTCGACCTAGAATCTTAGTTGACTCGGATCAAACCTTCAGCTTAAGTATACTTGGGTCATCTTTTGGCCTAGGTTAACTTGGGTCACCATTGATCCACAATGACTTGCCTCGACTTTTGGTCCTAATTGGTTTGAATCGATTAATAGTTTGGATAGTTAGTACACACCCATGTATATGTATTATATATTTTTCATTTTAAAATCTTTTTCATACAAATACACACGTGTATATGTTTTATATATTTTTCATTTTAATTTTTTACTTTGTGATCTCATGTTTTTTTTCTCTCAAACACAACACAATTTATGACACTTGGAATTGGCTTATAAATAGAGTTGTCATTTGAGCTCCTAACTCATGTACCGACCCTAATCTTTTTTAAAACTATGCCATATTTTTTTACTCCACTTAATAAGGGTCTTTTTCAAAGTCTTAACCTCCAAAACCCTATGTAAAGTGGGTTGGTGGCAGGATTAAGGTAGGATTGGCCTCCCAAAACTAAATTAGTTTAGTTTTAATGTATTTTTAATTATTTTTTTCATTTGCTTTTTGCAATTTCTATTCAACAGTTTTCAAGCTTCGCATAATATTATATTAATTTTTTTCTTCTTCAGAATCATATTTCTCTAATGTTGAATAGCAAAAAAAAAATTATATTTTAAGAATTTTATGGCATAAGATACAACGTAAAAACACATTTTCTTTTAATAATTTTGTTTTTGAAAGTTTTTATGAACTTATTTTGATAAACTATTTAAAAAATATTTATATATAAATAAATTTTTAACTTACTTTTAGTCTTGACATCTAAAATACAATAATTGCATTTCAGTTTAAAAAAATATTTGTTCTCATAAGAATCATCCATAAAATAATCAATTGTTTTTATAAAATATAACGTAAACATTTTTTTATATCTAAATTAAATAAAAATCACACAATTTTATAATTAACAAAAAAACTAAATGTTAAATGTTAATACAATTACATAATTTGATTTACAAATGCATGACTAATGGATATAATTAAGTTACAAAACCAATTAAACCAATGTATTAATTTAGTAAAAAAAGTTTTAAATTTTATTAGCAATAAAATAGCTAAATTATTAAACGATAGTTCATAAGCTAACTCTAACCTACAGGATTTTTGTAAGTATATGAATTTTTTTATCCTAATCCATGTGAATTTAGATCAAACAATATGGAATATGTGAAGTTGATAGGTCTACTCATAAATTCTCGCTCTCTCACTCTGTTTGTCGATATTGGTGCACCACCACTTAATTTTATGTTGTGAATAATTATTGTAACACTAGTTACATTTGATTCACTTGTGTTGTGAAATTTGATATTAGAACAAGTGAAAAAATATAAACTCATCACGAAACTATTTATATTTGAAATGGATTAAGCATTATCGTCAAATCTTCGCGCTTTTATATTCCTTTTCTTATATTTACTTCTTTAATGGTAATTACATGAATAAAAATCATAAGAATTAGAGTATTGATGAAAAAATCATTTTCCAGAAATGTGTGTTACCAAAGGAGTCTCATTTATAAAAAGAAGTAATAAATATACTTCTTAAAAAAGGTAGTCTAATATTTGACATTGACTAGATGTTTCACACTTTAAATAAAATAATTTGAAGGCTTCCTAAAGAGCATGTTGGTATAGTGTCTAAAATACTAGGTAATAATTGAAATTTCCTTACACTCTTTAACCATCTTTTACCCTTAATATAGTGTCCGTTTTGTTCAACGTCCAAAAGATCAAGGTGTTCTAACATAGGAACCAATATATAAACTTATGTTTTATCATTGATTCTTGAGTTTTTAGGGAGAACTTATTCATTAGTGTCTTACACCATTCAAACGGTTTTAAATAGGTTAAATAGATTTTTAGTCTCTTAACTATCAAACGATTTTGAGTTTAGTCTCTATTCGAAAGTTTTGTTCATTTTAATTCTTTTAGTTTTGAAACTCTTATAATTAGTCCTTAAAATTGGACGTCGTTAACTTGGGTGTTGCTCCCTCCAACACCACATCTTTCTCCCTCCACCTCCCCAATTTTTTTTAATTCCAATTATATCCTCAGATTAAAATTTTTTACTTTTACTATTTTAATTTATTTCAAACCTAGTTTTTCTACTTTACTCCTTGCACCCAATCTTTTCATCTCTCATTTTCGTTTAACAATTTGTCTTCCGTTTTACTCTGCAACCACATTTATCTTCTCCGTTTCACTTCTCCTCCTCCGTTTCTTTCTTCTTCATTTTCCTTACATTATTAAAATACATTAAAAATATATTCAAAAATATATTCAAAAATAATAAATCAAAACATTTAAATTAAATTATTAAAATATTTCCAAAATAAAGAATAAACTAATAAAACAAACCCTAAAATAAAAAACGTAACCTTTAAATGAAGGTGACATCATTCAACGGATGTCAACATCCGTTTAAGGAAAAACGGATGTCGACATCCGTTTTAGGGTTCTTAACTTACTTTTTTTTAATTGCAGCGCTCCTCTCCCTCATCACCAACTACGTCCTCTCCAAGCCAAATTCCCCCCTCAAGCTTCTCTACTGCACGCGCACTGTCCACGAGATGGAGAAGACGCTTGCCGAGCTTCGCCTCCTCCACGACTACCAGCTCCTGCACCTTGGNTTTCAAGTCTGGCATGGCCAAGTCCATTCATCACGCTAGAGTCCTCATCAGGCAGAGGCACATAAGGTCTAATTTCTCACAATATTCATTAAGTAGTATTCGTTATTTATTTTGGATCATATGCAATGCTATTGATTTTCACTATGAATTGATTTCGTATCGTGTAGCTTTGTTGCATAATTACGGCTTAATTATTAAATTCATACTGAACTCGTATAGTTGCGGGCTTGCTGTAATACTGATCCTTTTTTCCTAATATATGGATTGGTTTTCGTTGATAAATTGTGTGACTTGATATAGAGACCATTTGGTGTGTTTAATTTGTTTTTTGATGATAGCTTCTTTTTGGAATGAATATTGAGATTGTTTGGGATTTGGCAGGGTTGGGAGACAGGTGGTGAACATTCCATCATTCATGGTTAGGGTTGATTCTCAGAAGCACATTGACTTCTCACTCACGAGTCCACTTGGTGGTGGTCGCCCTGGACGCGTGAAGAGAAGGAACCAAAAGGCTGCTGCTAAAAAGGCCGCTGGTGGAGATGGAGATGAGGAGGATGAAGATTAGGTTATTAATGTCTAGCAACCTTTCTTGTGCGCACCTTTTAATTAATGTAGACATTTTAGAATTTTGTCATGCTCCGACTCTTATAAAATTTTCCGTACTTGTTTTTTGTTTGAGGTAAAGTTGTGCCTGAGGTATGATGATTTTGAACTCTGCTTTCTCAAAGTATTCAAGTTTTGCTGCCATGATTGTCGTGATCTCTGGTATTTTCACAACTTGAATCAAATATCCTTACATATGTGATTTAAGGCTAGAAGCCATTTTAAAAAAAATGATTTGGTAAGATGCTTAGGGTTTTGGTTCGAATGGCAGAGATTTTAGAATTACTAGGGATAGTTGCTGTAAAAATCGGCAACAATATTTGTGCGTTGATTTTTGTTGAGTCTTGCTGGGTAGTGATTCTAATATTATGTTTGGATATCCAAACCAACGAACCTAATGGTGAAGCAATTCATTGACTTCTCTACATTTTGTAAAACTGACATGAGAGACATGCTAATTGAGTAAAGAACATTGATTTTTCAAACAGGCTCGAAATCGTAACGTAGTTTAGTTGGAGAGGTATTTTAAGATCAATTGTTAATTAGATAACTCAATTGCGCTTTTCTTGTTACAAACAGAGCAGTGTTTGGGAGCAGAATATAACAATTCATATTTAAGTGGCAAAAAATTGAAGTATCGGCTGCAGGAAATCCATTGATTTAATTCACATTGCTTTTATGCAAACACTTTAGATGTTCGTTGGTGTCTCTGAACTCTCTTGGCAACAAAAACGGCATGTTTTTTGCTTGCCCCTAGTATTACGTGCTCGATTCGACAATGCTATCATTATAGATTAGAGATCTCAAAATCGGTGCTTGATGAGTTCACACCTTGGGTAATCAATGTTTGTCCTCGTTTGGTAGCTAGTTTTCATTCCTTTACGAAAATCAACTGTGTATGGGTATATATGACCCATGGTTCGTAGGTGAGATTTAATCCACTTCTAGAAATGGCATCATTTTATTAAGCTCGCAAAATGAGGGGTCTAGAAAAGTTCCATTCTCCAAAACTCAGTCTTGAAGAAAATTAAGATTAGAGTAAAAGTAGATCTGATTGCATCACAAGAATTTAATTGGTTGTGAATACTAAACTTTCAACTCAGAGTCAACCTATGATGAAGGTAGAATTGAGTCACTTCAAATTGAAAATTAAGACTAATATGTTCTAATTAAGGGTAAAGTTGAATTTCAAATCAAGATTATTTAAATCTATCTTGGATCTGGAATAACTCAAGTTGACCTTTAGTCCAAGTTAATTTGGGTTTACCTTTAGCCTGGATCACTCGACCATCAACTTGAATTGCTTCTCCCAGGCCAACTCACCCTACCTTTGTCCTAAGACAACTCACCCTACCTTTAGCTAAAGACAACTCATTGTACCTTTAGTATAGACCAATTTGGCGATTTTTTGGCTAAACGATCAACCTGGGTTGACTTGACTAACTCAAGTTGATTGTTAGTCTCGCTCAACTTAGATGTCCAAGCCAACTCCGATCTACTTTCAGTTGACTTGACTGATTCAAGTCGATTGTTAGTCTCGCTCGACTTAGATGTCCCAGCCAACTCCGATCTACTTTCAGTTTGGACTGACTTGACCTTTGACTCAGGCCTATTCGGATTGACCTTCAATCCGAGTTGACTCGACCTTCAATTTGGGCCAACTCAAGTCACCCTTTAATCGAGACCAACAAAGTCGACCTAGAATCTTAGTTGACTCGGATCAAACCTTCAGCTTAAGTATACTTGGGTCATCTTTTGGCCTAGGTTAACTTGGGTCACCATTGATCCACAATGACTTGCCTCGACTTTTGGTCCTAATTGGTTTGAATCGATTAATAGTTTGGATAGTTAGTACACACCCATGTATATGTATTATATATTTTTCATTTTAAAATCTTTTTCATACAAATACACACGTGTATATGTTTTATATATTTTTCATTTTAATTTTTTACTTTGTGATCTCATGTTTTTTTTCTCTCAAACACAACACAATTTATGACACTTGGAATTGGCTTATAAATAGAGTTGTCATTTGAGCTCCTAACTCATGTACCGACCCTAATCTTTTTTAAAACTATGCCATATTTTTTTACTCCACTTAATAAGGGTCTTTTTCAAAGTCTTAACCTCCAAAACCCTATGTAAAGTGGGTTGGTGGCAGGATTAAGGTAGGATTGGCCTCCCAAAACTAAATTAGTTTAGTTTTAATGTATTTTTAATTATTTTTTTCATTTGCTTTTTGCAATTTCTATTCAACAGTTTTCAAGCTTCGCATAATATTATATTAATTTTTTTCTTCTTCAGAATCATATTTCTCTAATGTTGAATAGCAAAAAAAAAATTATATTTTAAGAATTTTATGGCATAAGATACAACGTAAAAACACATTTTCTTTTAATAATTTTGTTTTTGAAAGTTTTTATGAACTTATTTTGATAAACTATTTAAAAAATATTTATATATAAATAAATTTTTAACTTACTTTTAGTCTTGACATCTAAAATACAATAATTGCATTTCAGTTTAAAAAAATATTTGTTCTCATAAGAATCATCCATAAAATAATCAATTGTTTTTATAAAATATAACGTAAACATTTTTTTATATCTAAATTAAATAAAAATCACACAATTTTATAATTAACAAAAAAACTAAATGTTAAATGTTAATACAATTACATAATTTGATTTACAAATGCATGACTAATGGATATAATTAAGTTACAAAACCAATTAAACCAATGTATTAATTTAGTAAAAAAAGTTTTAAATTTTATTAGCAATAAAATAGCTAAATTATTAAACGATAGTTCATAAGCTAACTCTAACCTACAGGATTTTTGTAAGTATATGAATTTTTTTATCCTAATCCATGTGAATTTAGATCAAACAATATGGAATATGTGAAGTTGATAGGTCTACTCATAAATTCTCGCTCTCTCACTCTGTTTGTCGATATTGGTGCACCACCACTTAATTTTATGTTGTGAATAATTATTGTAACACTAGTTACATTTGATTCACTTGTGTTGTGAAATTTGATATTAGAACAAGTGAAAAAATATAAACTCATCACGAAACTATTTATATTTGAAATGGATTAAGCATTATCGTCAAATCTTCGCGCTTTTATATTCCTTTTCTTATATTTACTTCTTTAATGGTAATTACATGAATAAAAATCATAAGAATTAGAGTATTGATGAAAAAATCATTTTCCAGAAATGTGTGTTACCAAAGGAGTCTCATTTATAAAAAGAAGTAATAAATATACTTCTTAAAAAAGGTAGTCTAATATTTGACATTGACTAGATGTTTCACACTTTAAATAAAATAATTTGAAGGCTTCCTAAAGAGCATGTTGGTATAGTGTCTAAAATACTAGGTAATAATTGAAATTTCCTTACACTCTTTAACCATCTTTTACCCTTAATATAGTGTCCGTTTTGTTCAACGTCCAAAAGATCAAGGTGTTCTAACATAGGAACCAATATATAAACTTATGTTTTATCATTGATTCTTGAGTTTTTAGGGAGAACTTATTCATTAGTGTCTTACACCATTCAAACGGTTTTAAATAGGTTAAATAGATTTTTAGTCTCTTAACTATCAAACGATTTTGAGTTTAGTCTCTATTCGAAAGTTTTGTTCATTTTAATTCTTTTAGTTTTGAAACTCTTATAATTAGTCCTTAAAATTGGACGTCGTTAACTTGGGTGTTGCTCCCTCCAACACCACATCTTTCTCCCTCCACCTCCCCAATTTTTTTTAATTCCAATTATATCCTCAGATTAAAATTTTTTACTTTTACTATTTTAATTTATTTCAAACCTAGTTATCCTACTTTACTCCTTGCACCCAATCTTTCCATCTCTCATTTTCGTTTAACAATTTGTCTTCCGTTTTACTCTGCAACCACATTTATCTTCTCCGTTTCACTTCTCCTCCTCCGTTTCTTTCTTCTTCATTTTCCTTACATTATTAAAATACATTAAAAATATATTCAAAAATATATTCAAAAATAATAAATCAAAACATTTAAATTAAATTATTAAAATATTTCCAAAATAAAGAATAAACTAATAAAACAAACCCTAAAATAAAAAACGTAACCTTTAAATGAAGGTGACATCATTCAACGGATGTCAACATCCGTTTAAGGAAAAACGGATGTCGACATCCGTTTTAGGGTTCTTAACTTACTTTTTTTTAATTGCAGCGCTCCTCTCCCTCATCACCAACTACGTCCTCTCCAAGCCAAATTCCCCCCTCAAGCTTCTCTACTGCACGCGCACTGTCCACGAGATGGAGAAGACGCTTGCCGAGCTTCGCCTCCTCCACGACTACCAGCTCCTGCACCTTGGTCCTGCCGCACGGATTCTCGCCCTCGGGTTGTCCTCCTGGAAGAATCTCTGCGTCAATTCAAGAGTTCTTGCGCCGGAGAATCGCGACTCCATGGATGCTGGCTGCTGGAAGCTGACTGCCTCTTGGGTCCTGGCGTTCGTCGCGGAGAACCCCTCTGTGTTGTCGTGTGAGTTCTTTGAGTAGTATGAGAGGGAAGGGTCATCCATAGTTCTGCCTCCCGGGGTTTATACTGTCCAGGTTTGGGTGTTTCTTTCTAGATTGGGAAATGTCTTAAATTTATAGTGGTTTGAGTGGGCGAAAAGGGATTTGGATTAAGGATTTGAATTGTGACTACAATTGTGATCTCATTTTGATACTTGGTATTTTGGACAAATGTGGTCAATGCAGCTGTAATTGCTGTGTGATGATGTTGGGTGAACCAAAAACCTTGATTTTATGGTCAAAATCGTCGTTATGGACGGAGTTATTGAAAAAAAAAGGTAAGTTAAGAACCCTAATGCTAATCTGATTTCATAAACCAAAACGTGGCAATCACTTAATCTGATTTCTAAAATGAAAAGCAACGTGACAGAGAGTAAAAAGGGAAACTGACATCAGATCGTGGGCTCGCCCTTTGCCACATCAAATAAAAGTTAACACCGTCCAGTTTTAAAGACTAATTATAAGAGTTTCAAAACTAAAATAGTTAAAATGAACAAAACTTTCGAATAAGGACTAAATCCAAAATTGCTTGATAGTTAAAAGACTAAAAACATATTTAACCATTTTAAATATAAC